GAATAAGTATGGGGTTATTTGATAGATTAATTTTTGTATATCTTTTTATACATTATTTTTGGTTTATTTGACTTTTATTAGTATCATATTGTGTTATATTAACTTGGATTTTTTCAAGTGAGTCATTTTAGTTTTAGTAGTAAATTTTAGTTAATTTTCGTAATTTTTTTTTCTATTTTGACTTTATTTCTTGTGCAGGCTATATATAGCTCCTAACATTGGATTTGGACATTCTTGGTGTCCTTTGAAAGATAAGAAAAAGTTCTACAACTTCTTTGTTGGGAGAAAAGGCCAGTTTGGACATTAAGTGACCCACAATTGTGTTACAAAGTTTTAGTCCTGCTTAGTATTTTCTTTTTATTTTTAGAATATAGTTAGGATTTATTTAGTGATATAATTAGTTGACTTAGTGGGTCGGGCCTTGTAAATATTCTCCTTATACCCACTATGTTTCTCTATTAATAGGTGTTGTGAGACTTGTTATGTACACTTTACACTCATTTTTCACATTTTAAAGTTGTTTCCTCTATAAGTTTCTCTAAATTCTCTCTTTCCTCTCTTCTCTCTCTCAAAATTTTTTCTTCATATTTTTCTATACAAAGGAACTGCAGTGTCTTGATGAAGATGTGTGGCTAATTCATTCATTTGATTCGAGATTTCATGAATTATAGTAAAATTCGAGTTCCCAATCTATTTTTACCATACAAATTCTTTTCATCTTCTTCTTCATTCTAGATCCATTTTTCCATTCTTCATGATTATGAATTTTGTTTTAATGGATCCAAATTATATTTGAAGATTAATTTTAGATCTAGATCTAAATCTAGATCTTGACCTAAAATAACCTAAATCGCCTAATTTAACTGTTCACCATTCTTGAATTTCAAGGAAGTTGTGAGATCATGATTGTGTTTCACGTTTTTATGAAATTCAATAGATCTACATATAGATTACGATCTTATTAATTTAGGTTGATTAAATTTTGATTATAATTTGAACTATGAAAATTTTACCGTAATGATTGAAATCTTAAATCAATGTAATTTTTAATTGATTTTTTTTGTTTGCGTTTATAATATTCTAAATTCTCTTTATTGTTCATAAAAATCTTCCCTCTAATTGTGTCATAATTTTCAATCCAATTGGCTTGTGTCTTCAAGAAGAATGACCTAGGTTGTTCCTTGTATTACAAATATTTGGGAAAAATCTAGTTTACTTTTGATAGTGACTTAACAACGCTATTAGAGTGTTTTCGAGTATGAGAGATATGCAAAACAGTGAGGTAGAAGTCTCTTTATATATAGGTGTGAGAAGCTTGAGAGCTAGTCAAAACCGTGTGAAAAATAAGGAGTAAAATTCATTTAAATCAAAAAGTGATTGTTTTAGAATAAAATATTTTATCTTGGAAGATTCGGTTAACAATGGATAAAGACGACAGTAACAAATAAGATTTTGAAGACTGAGTCAATCATAAAAAAAATGTATAAGAAAATTGACCATATTCAATTAAGCCTTCATTAAATAAAATAAATAAAAATAATTTAATGAATTAAAAATAAAATTATTTTTTGATTCCATAATTGCACGCACAAGAGGGGGCAAATTCATGGATTTGCACTACAATAGAATCACAAGGCCCATTCTGATGCATACAAGCCCACTACTGTTGCTTGTTGGGATGGCAATAAGGTAAGTGAGGTATGGGTTTCACAATCCCTATCCCTATCCCTATTCCTATACCATATACTCATTTTCATCTCCATATCTGATGAGTATGAAATTTGTGTCCTCATTCTCATCCCTGTCAAGTATCGAGTATACTTGTGACTGTCCAAAAATTAATTAAATATTTTTTTAAAAATAAGTATTAAAAAAACAAGAATTTTAACGTAAAGTAGCAATTACAAAATTATATTGATTAAGTTTTATTTTTAACATAAATTTAAAATAAAGTCAGAATTATATAAATGTGAAGTAAATTTTAGAAAGAATAAATTAAATTTCTAGAAATTTAAAGCGGGTACGAATATAAGGTCAAATAAGATATTCTCCATCAAAGTTAGGTTGAGTTTGAATATTAACCACAAGTAAGAGTTTACATGTCATCCCTACTTACTTGTCTTTTTAAAAGTGTAAGATACACTTTAATATATAAACACTCAAAGCTTATTAGATCCAAGTAATGTGAGACTTTTTATTTTTTTGAAATATTATATATATATATATATATATATATATTAGAAAAGAGAATGGTGTCCGTAATAGTGAAAACCCAACCATATATGTGTGAAACATTCGATGGTGGGGCTAATTTAAAAGCACAAAACCACAAACACACTTTACAATATGTCGTTCTTGCCATGGTAGTCACTATCATGGAAAAAGGGAGCCAATTCAAATTTTGGCATTTTATAAAGTACCGGCAATGACATGCCAATAATAGCATTCAAGATTATTGTGCTAGCTAGAAGGTACGCCTTTAATTTTTTCCATGTTACATCTATGCTATCATGCAGGGTGGCTTTGATGTAAGAAATTAAACATGCTATATACAATTTGTAAAGGAATAGGTCCACCCCCTCTGTCCCATTTCTTAATGAAATGAGGATTATGGCTGCACATGACAATTCAGAACAAACGGATACATCGTTTTCTCTGGGTGTTCCTGTGCCAACTTTTTTTGCGAATTATGTCTCACTGCATTTTCTCAACCACTATTTGTAGTTCCATTATTGCTATACTATAGCATGCTCACCTTTCAGTATTGTTGTTGCTATTAAAATGTTTGAAAATTTTGGACTTGTGTTCGGTCTATTTTATAAGGAGAAGGGTGTTCATTGTGTTGTATCAAGAGAGTTTTGGTATTCCTCCCACTAATCACCATTGTTAACATGCATGTATATGTGTTAAATGTGTGACCTAACTCGTTTTAAAACGTACGTAGAAAAATAGTTTACGTGTTAACATACCATTAGTTGTTAGAGTAGAATGAAAACTAAAATACTCTCAACACAATTCGAACCAAAGTAATAATTTTCATTTTATAATTAGGATTGGATAAGACTTGGATACAGTTTCATAGGTGTGATTAATACTTAGAGTTTTACCTCAATAATATATAAATATATATTAATAAAATTTGTATCAAATATAATAGCATATTATTGATATAAAAAAAAAATTATCTCTCTTCCCATAGTATATACATAAAAAGCATATATGATATACAAGTTGGTTGAAGCATGGTCTTTATCTCTTTGATTTACCAATCTCTATAATGGAATACTTCCAAACTCAATTTTCTGTTTCTTCACAATAACGTACACGTGCATGCCTTTCTTTCTTGCTTTATTATTATTATTATTTTTGCTGAATATGTGCGTGCCTTTCTAGTTTCTAGTAATATAATAATTCGTACAATTTCGGTAAGGTCTTGCTGTTGGCACTTAGCACTGTTGAATTGGGTGACTGCTAGGGCCATTCTTTTTTCTTTCTGCTAGATGGAACCTTTTTTATTTAATATTTATAAATAAAAATCAATAAAATACAAAATTATTTTAAATTTTTGATGTATCAAATTTTTGTCCGCCTTTTAAATACTTATTTAAAAAAACACTTGTTTAGAAATACTTTTTTAAAATTTAAACAAACTGATCCAATATACTTTTTTTTGTCATATTTTGTTTGAAATTTTAAAAAAAATTTGTTTCATTTTAAAATATTAAAAGAGTGTTATTTTTTTTTTGTTATAACTTAAATCATTTATCGTGGACTGGGAAAATTAAAAAAAAAGGATTTAATTAATATAATATAAAATATATTAAGAAATTAATTAGATAATAATATCTTGTATATTAAAAAAAAAGAAATAAGAAATAAGAAAAGAGGTGGGAGATAAAAATGTTATGTTACACATAACATACTCTTAAGAAAGTGAGTTATAAATCTAACTTAAACTTATGAAATCAACCTGTAAAAGTACATTCAAAGTTCTTATGATAGTTCTTAATTTTTAGCACTAATTCGTATAAAAACCCTCCTTTGGAGCATGCTTTGTTGGCAACTTCAGTTTCTTAAAACTTTAAGAACTAACTCTTAAATAAGCATCAAGTTTTTAACATTGAAATATTAATTTCTTGTTGTTATTTATTTCTTAAAATAATTTCTTAACTCGTCAAAAAGTGAAGCACAAATAAAAAAATATATAAAAGTGTGGATTTCCATAAGATCCTATTGTTAAATCAAAAAAATTATATAATTTTTTTATATAAAAAATACATTTAGACCTAAAGTTTATTTATGATTAGATTAATATTTCCTACTATTTAGTAGCGAATAACTTCTTCACCGACAGAAGTACTACTCAAGAGAATCTCGACTTGTGTGTCTTATTCGATTTTATGTTATGGATTTTTGTATTTCGGTTTAGATAGACTCTAGATGAAACGAAGTGGTATTTTAAGATACTATAAAATTATAAATCATTATGCATGCAGAAATTCCAACCCGTTATCAAGTTTGATTTTAGTATTATTTTTAAATTCCAAAATTCTATTTTTGACAGTAATGTTATTTCTCTTATAATATTAAAAAATACTAGTAACAGTTATTTAACATACTCTATTATTAATTAACTTTATTTTTTATATACTATATATAAAGTTTTATAAGTCTCACTTCACTTCAGATAAGTCTCATTTATGATTTTATAATTATAATGAGTTTTAATTAATATTAGATTATATGTTAAAAGGAGTATATTAAAATATTATCCGTAACAAAAAAGAAATAAAACCAAGTATAGGAACTTTATAAAGATTTAATTTGGTTTATTTGATCCATATTTTTACTTTTAAGATTTTGTTTACCTTTTGCTTTGTGGTTGCTTGAACAACTTACATGAGGATCCGCACCTTGCTTCCTATAGTAATAAAAGAATCCAAACTGTTTGCCATAAATAAGGGAACCTACAACCAATCTAATGCAGGTTAATTATAAAATTTGCACATCAACTTGTTGTTTCTAACTATCAACAATGGCCACTTCTACAACTTTCTCTCTCTCATGCACTCCCCAAAGCACATTGCTGTCCAAACCAAAGTCTCACACACTATCCCCATCCATGACACTGTTGTCACCCCAAGGGGGACAAAGAAACCTCTACCACCCTCTAAGAAACAATATTATTGCATCTCCAATTTCCATGAAGCCTAAGAGAAACCATGTTGGAGGCTTAGTGAAGGCATCAATGGATAACAAGAACGTGGAGGTGTTCTCCAAAGAACACCTTGCTGTGTCTCTGGCCAAGTATGTTGCTGATCTATCTAATAAGTTCATCAAAGAAAGAGGGTGCTTCTCTATCGCTCTGTCTGCTGGGTCTATCAAGTACCTCAGGTAACTTATTTTCTAGTACTACAGTTAAGGATTCATTGAAAATTGTACGATTCCCTTTTACAAATCCAGAGAATGTATGAGGATATTTAATGTTTGTTATTTGAAACAAAGTTTGCGAATTTTGTTTGATATTACAATTTGAGAAGGGTGTGGTTGAAATCCCCCATTGATATAACACAACTGACAATTAACATTTGCTGATAAAAAAAAAAACAATTTCAGAAAGCTGGTGGAACCTCACTATTCTAACACTATCCTGTGGTCTAAGTGGCATATATTTTGGGTGGATGAGAAAGTGGTGCCAAAGACTCACGTTGATAGCAACTACAAGCTCGCTTATGATGGATTCATCTCCAAGGTATACACATATATTAGGTCCTGCTGATGATTTACTTCCTCTATTCTTTATTAGTAGAAAAGAAAATTAATTTCACATTAAATATATAGAAATGTGTTTTTTTTATTACTTATAATAATTTAGGGAAAATATTATTAAATTACGTAAACGTAATTAAAATTAGTTTATATTTAAAATAAAAAAATATTTTTTTGTTGCTTATATATAAAAGAGTGTTCATAAAGTAAATTTTAGAATATGAGTAAGAAGTTTCACATTAAATAGAAATGCACATGTTAAAACTGAAATACCTCATACCTTAAAATTTTTGGTTGATGTAATATCAAGTTTGTAATTTGTTTATGACCGATTCATGAAGATCTATCCGATGTTTTACCTGCCTGTATTTTTAACAGTTAGCATTTAAGATTACAAATTGGATGATTTTCTATAATGTGGATATAATATATGTTTTCTTTTGCTGTAATATGTTCATCTTTTGTTTTCATAATAAACAATGTTGAAAGGCATAACCCTTGACTCACTCTATACTATTATGATTTAATTAAGGATATTTCCAAATCAAAAGGTTAATTAATGAAGCTTGCTCTCATTTTTCTCTTTTAACAGGTGCCAATTCCTCCACACAATGTCAACACTATTGATGATGCCTTGCCAGCTGATGGAGCAGCTGATGTGTATGAAACAACTCTCAAACGCTTGGTTGCAAGCAATGTGATAGCCAAATCATTTGTCACAGGATTTCCAAAGTTTGATCTTGTGCTATTAGACATGGGCCATGATGGGCATGTAGCATCTCTCTTCCCAGGGCACCCTACACTTAATGAGACCAAAAAATGGGTCACCTTCCTCAAGAATGCACCAACCCCACCACCAGAGAGGATCACTTTTACCTTGCCAGTGATCAATGCTTCTTCAAACATAGCAATGGTGGTGACTGGTGCTGGTAAAGCAGATGCAGTCTACTCTACACTGGAGGAAGCTCCTAGTGATTATAAACTCCCTGCTCAATTGGTTTCACCTAAAGAAGGAGAGTTGAAATGGTTCCTAGACAAGGGTGCTGCATCAAAGTTGTGGTAGATATATCCAAGTAATTTAGTGGATTTCTATACAAAATTGTAGTTGCATAAGGGAAAATAAGGCATTAAAGATTGGACTCTAGCCATGTTTCATATTAATGCAAGTTTTATATAGTTATATATTGTTGTTTGGATCTTAAGATTGTAAGAATAAATTTGCCTTTTGTTTCTTCTTTTTGAATGTAAAATGGATACTATTTAAGTATCCTAAAATGCATTACTTGTTTTATGGGTTTCCAAAAAATATAATTTAATACAATAATGATATTTATTTAACATTCCTTATGCTGTATCATTTAGTGATCATTTCTATTTTTACAATTTGTGTGAAATTGTTAATGAAGGTGGAGAGAAATATCATAACAAAACTCAACCTTAGTAAAGAAGACTTGAAAAGAGATCGAGCCAAGTTAACTGTAGAAATAGTTTATGAAAAATCAAACATAAATTGTAATTCAGACAGGGAATAATTAAATAGTCAACGAACAACTATAAGAGACTTGAAAAACGAAAAAGGTATCGACATAATTTAAAAAATTAATATAAAGTAAACAATCGGTTAACAAAAAGAAAGTGATGCGGATTGAATTAAAATTGATTTGATGATTTTGCTCAAGAAAATATTAGAAGTAAGATTGAATGCGTTTCCTGTGGTTTGTTCCTTTGAGCAAATGGATGATAAATCCGAAGAGTTTAAGGACATGATAGAACCTCATCATGTTTGGATAGTTACAATGTAAAAAAAAAACATAAAAAAGAAACTTTATCCTTTTCTGTTTGAGGATTAGTGTTCTCTTCTTTAGGAAAAGACAAATACAATGAAACTACCTTGACATGTGGCACTGGTATATGATGTACGACTTTATTTCACTATTAGATTTATCTCATTCATAACATTATAGCGTGATAAGAAGATAAAAAAACTTCAAAATAGAGTTGTTACTATGAGACACTTTTCTCTCACTTTAAATTTTCTTTCAACGCCGTTGAATATGAAACGTCACACCATATAAACCTGTTGTCCAAAATTCAGCCAGATCCAATGGTGAACGAATCTCCAATTGTAATTCAACAAACGCTGCTTGATGGATATGTGACTTGAAAAAAAAAATAGTAGATGTTTATACTGAATAAAACCAAGCTCCTATAAGAATTTCCTCACCCATAGCAACTCCTTGCATGCATTAGTAATGACAATGAATTCTGTCTCTGTAGTAGACAAAGCTACACACCTTTATAATCTAGATTGCCAAGACACAACTCCCCCTGCAAATTTAATCAAATAGTTCAAAGTGGACTTCCTGGAACCAATGTCTTCAGCAATATCAAAGTTTGAGTACCCCATCAGTTGGTTTATCACCACCAAAACAAAGCCTTATGTTTTCAGTACCATGAAGATATCTCAAAATCCATTTAACAACATTTCAATGCTCTTTACATGGTTTGACAGAAATCTACTAACAATACCAACAACATATGCTATATCTAGTCTTGTGCACACTATTACATAGATCAAACTACCCACCATAGACGCATAAGGAATCTGTTGCATATCTAATTTCTCAGCTTCATTTGACGGACTCTGTTTAGAACTTAGCTTAAAATGAGTAGTAAGTGGAGTGCTCACTTCCTTGGCCTTTTCCATCTAGAATCTCTCCAAAACTCTTTTAATATGGTGTTCTTGTGATAGTCAAAGCTTCTTCTCCTTTATGTCATGCATGATTCTTATACCAAGAATCCGTTTAGCTGTTCTCATGCATGTACTTTATGGCAAATGAATCACCTAATTGCCTCTTCAACCTGTCAATTTTGGAAACATCTTTTCCAACCAATAAACATGTCATCAACATACAATAATATATAGGATAATTAGGGGTGTAAATGGGTTGGATTGGATCGGGTTTGGATAAACCTGTTACCTGACCCAATTAAAATTTAACAGGTTTGATTGGGTCAGATTTGTGCAATTTTTTTAAAAAAAACCCAACTCAACCCAACTCAATCACGAACATGTTGGGTTGGATTGGGTTAATTGAGTCAACATAATTAAATTTATTGATTTTTTATAAAAAAATTAAATATTTTAAAACATATATAAATCATTTGATACATTGTTACAAATACAATGTTATCAAGTTATAAAGAAATCAATGATACAAATTAAATTCTAAAATAAATTTATTAATTTGAGAAAAATAAAATATTTTTTGTTAATATGACTTAAAGACATTAAGGAGGGTGTATTGGTTTAGGATTTCGTAGGATTTTAAAAGACTTTTTTTGAGTAAAAAAGTCAATTGGTATTCAATCAGGATTTTATGTCACTTAAAAACAATCCAGTGGTATTCAATCTGGATTTTCAAGATTTTTTAAAGAGTCCATTAAAATCCATTGGTATTCATTTGAGATTTTTTACAACTTAAAAACAATCAACCAATTTAGAAGAATAAGGAAGAATTCTCATTTCAAAGCTCCTTTCTCTAACTTTATTTAAATTATAGATTTATGAAATTCACTTCTAGAGAAAAATTTTATATACTTTCCTTTTAACAGATCAATTTTGACCTCAACTTAGAACAACTTTTAACAGTTATTGTAATGTAGTGAGGAAATTTTTGAGTTTAGTTGACTCTAGAGAGAGAATAGTATATAAGGATTTCTCTGAGAAGGGAACTTCATAAGTTCATTCTCAAAGAAACTAGAGACAAGTTTTGGAGAGAAGGACTCTGGGTCCGTGAGCTCCTTTCTCTCTCAAATTTCTATGGTTGATTCTTCTTCTTTGTCTAGATCACTAACTTCTCCTGTCTTCTCTTGGAATTCAGGCTAGGAAGCTTGATTTTGAAGGATTGAAGTTTGGGAGTCGAGCTCCGAGGAAAGTTTTCTTCTTCCCTAATTCTTGGTTGTTCGGAGCCAATCTTCAGGTAAGGGAAGCTAGAATATATGTTGTTTGGTTGCATGAGAGTTTAGGAACTCCATTGATGTATGGAATTCGAGAAGAAGTGGTTGAATTGGGTGATTTCCTCATTTTTTGGGGTTTTTGGGGAAAATGGGGTTTTTGACAATTTTGGTGCATTGATTGGTTGCATGTTGAATCTGAACTCATTTTTGAGTTGTAGGGAGTCTATATGTTGCATTTCATGGATTGCATGTGGTTGAAGTTGCTGATTTTCAGGTTTTGAAGGAATTTTTTAGGTTTTTGGAGGTTTCTGGTTAAATATGCGTCGGGCGCAGTTCTTAGCGTCGGGCATGCATTCATCTGGGGGCCACCAATGTTAAATCACGCCGGGCAAGAGGCTAGTTGCACCGGGCGTGGAGACTCTTTGTGAGTCTCTGTTTGAGGTTGAGCCGGGTGTGATATTAATGCGCCGGGTGGGAATATGTTGGCCTTTAAGTCTTCATGAAAGTTGTATCCTTGGATGTTAGCTTTCCAATGGCGCTGGAATCACCCAAAAAGGAGGTCTAGAACTCCAGATATGGTTGTTTTAGTGAAGAGGGGTCAAGTTGCTAGCATTGGTTATAGCTGTTGCGGTTTTTAGAATTTTTAACAAGGTAGATGAAGGAATTAGGATTTGGTGTCTTCATGAGAGATGTAGGAAATCTTCTTATCTTTCATATGAGATAAGAATGAGAATGGTAGGAGTAGTATAACTCCTGATATGCTGTTTTATGTGAAGGTTTCCATTTCACAAGAAGTGATTTGGTTAAGTTGAAAGTTATTTTAGGTGCTTAGGTTGATTGGTGTTGTTTGGGTGGGTAAGTTGGCATGAAAGATGGGTTGTAAACGTGTAGTATGAGTTGTGTTATGTTATGAAAATGTTGTGTGTTGATAATATTGATTAATGATGTTGTTTGGTGATCAATATAAAATAAAATTTTAAATAAAATATTATATTATTATAATACTATCAACCTAAAACACAAAACTTGTTACTAAGGTAGAGTAATAGTGAGTATTGTCCTGAACAAATGATCACTCAAACACTATTATTATTATTAGGGTATATATATATATATATATATAACTGGGTGGGATTGGGTAACGAGTTGAAAACAAAAAACTCGTTACTCGACCTGTACAGTGTCAAGTTTTGATTAGATTAGGTTGGATCTGACTCAAACACTTGGGTTCGTTCAAGTTTGCAGATTACCCATACCCATTTACACCCTTAAGTATAATAAAGTCATCATTAGAAAATTTTCTAACAAAAACACAATGGTCAGAAGTAGTATTCTTGTAGCCTTACTCACATATAATAGACTCAAATTTTTTATACCACTGCCTTAAAGCTTGCTTAAAACCATATAAACTCTTTCTCAGCCTACACACATAGTGTTCCTTGCCTTCAACAAGAAAACCATCAAGTTGCTTCATGTTGATCTCTTCCTCCAAATCACCATGAAGGAAAGAAGTCTTCATATTCATTTGCTCTACCTTTAAATTAAGAGTAGTAGCCGAACTCAACATAGTTATAATGGATGTCATTTTCACCACAGGTGATAAGATCTCATTAAAATCAATACCTTTTCTTTGAATAAAGCCTTTGACCACTAATCTAGCTTTATACCTCGAAGACATAGAGTTACTCTCATGTTTCACTCTATAGATTCACTTGTTATCCAAGGCCCTCTTACCCTTAGGCAACTTCACCAAATCAAAAGTGTGATTATCATGCAAGGATTTCATCTCATCCTTTATAACATCCAACCACTTTTGTTTGTCTTCACTCTCCATGGCCTCTCTAAAGCACTCAAGGTCTCCCCTATGTGTCAAGATCATATACTTATCAAAAGAGTACCCCATAGATAGTTGTCTCTACCTAGTAGACCTCCTGAGTTGGGTTGGTGGTGGATTAGGTGCATCACCAAGACTTTCATCTTATGACATCTCATGTTCCTCGTCATCAACATCATCAATAGGAACATCTACCTCATCTCTAAATCATTGCTCACCAACATAGTCATGTTGCTCACCATTCTAAACATCAATATCCAAAATTATGAGTTGGAAACTGAACTGGATCAACATCAGCCACACCACTATCTCCCTTAGGTGTAGACTTCTCCACCTTATCAATTTCTTCAATGATTTGGTCTTCCATGAACTTAACATCATGACTTCTAACAAGTTTCTTCTCAACAAGATCATAGAATCTATAAGCAAATTCATCCTCACCATAACCAATGAAGATACATTGTCTTGTCTTTGCATCCAACTTGAATCTCTCATCCTTTCGAACATGCACAAATGCCTTGTAATTTAAAACTCTCAAGTGATCAT